TGATGAGGGGACTGGAGGGTAAAACACATGAAGAACGGTTGCAGGAATTGGGTATGTCTAGTTTAATGAAAAGAAGGACTAGGGGAGAGAGACATGATAGCAGTCTCCCAATATCTCAAGGGCTGCCACAAAGAAGAGGGAGTCAAGCTATTCTCCAAAGCACCTGAGGGTAGGACAAGAAGCAATGGGTGGAAACTAACCAAGGAGAGAAGCAACTTAGAACTGAGGAGAAATTTCCTGACAGTTAGAACAATTAATCAGTGGAATAACTTGCCTCCAGAAGTTGTGAATGCTCCAACACTGGAAGTTTAAAGATGTTGGATAACCATTTGTCTGAAATGGTGTAGGGTTTCTTGCATGAGCAGGGGGTTGGACTAGAAGACCTCCAAGGTTCCTTCCAACTCTGTCATTCTATTCTATTCTATTCTATTCTAATTCTAATTGTAATAATTTGTATGTATATATTGAAAATGTCTACCAAAAAACTTTAAAGTTGCTCACCTGCATTTCCCCACTTTTGGAAGGAACCCCTGGCTTTCTATACTTCTATTCATTTCCTCCTTGACTTTGGATTTTGGTCTTTTTTCATTGGAATTTTTCTGAAGTGTCTGAGAGACTTGCTCCTTTTCTCTCTTTTTTCCAGATGACAATTTGGGCGTAGTTTTCTTCTCAGGTTTTGCATCTTCCAAATGATCTGTATCAAAAAATAGAGAAAATGGAAAAAAAAATTACTGGGGGAAAAGTAGATTATTGATTTTTAATGGAACATCTTTAAGCAAAAGCTCACTCAATTTCCAATTATCTTTTCAAAATTAAACTGCAAGGTTTTGTAAACTATTTTAAAATGCTTCTGCTTAAGTGCGTAGACAAGCAGATATTTTTTATTCAATTCAATACACTCAGCATTATAAATGAACTTTAAAATTTTGTATTAGTGACAAAACCTTTCTTTTATTCTCCTTAAAGTTTACTGAATATCCTTGGGGCATTAACAAAACAAGGGCATCATAACTCAATAACCTAATCAGAAAGCTGTATCCCATTCTGATAGAATAAAGAACTGAAGTCAGCCTTTGTTTTCACTCTTGGGGGGGGGGAGTAATTACACAAGGTCCTTTCCATGAACATTTAGTATTTTCTAAACATATATTGGCGGACAAAGAACTGTGCACTTATGTAACTGCAACAGTAACTACAAAGGAGAGCGCAATTCAAAGCGTGCTTTAATCACGTGGCAC